CTCTCCTTTGCCCCTCAGATCTGTGGGTAACTGTTGGGGCTCTGAGTTGACTCATTAAAAATGAGAGAGAGGGGCCAAGATATAATATGGTTGTCTGATTGTGTCTTGATAGATATTATTGACTAAGTATGATCAAGCTGGAAGGTGGATGAGTAATGGATGGAGAGAGGGCTCTAAAGCTTTAAAAATAATCTGAAGTTTCAGCTCTTTAAACCTGGAAGTCTGATGCCCAGGGGAACTATTTAAAAAAGACATTTAGCTGGGTAGAATGATTACGATTCCAAATATCACTTGGTTGAGATTTTCAGTGAAGGTACTCCCTGAGGAAAAAAAAAGTCAGTATATTCAGACTGTGTATTGCTTCCTCCTAGCTGCTGTGTCTTCCTTCTCACTGTGTAAATCACATGAATGATCAGCCAATCAGGGAGAGTAATGATGGGAATTTTGCTGATATGAGGATTCATTAAAGTCTACGGAGTACCCTCAGGAAAGAAATCCATGTAAAGGAACAGAATTATTTTCTTGAGGATTGCTGAAAATTTGGGGGCGTTTTTGGCACTCCACTGCCCAAAATGTAGGGGAGGGGCAATTAAAAGATCATTGACTCAGATCTATCCTGCATCAGTGTTCAGCTTACATAATTCATGTTTTGCAGATATATTCTGTTGCCAAGAATTTTTTTACATGCATAGTTAGAAAAAAAACTGGACAGTTTGTTTTTGCTGTTTTGAAAGTAGTCAGATACTTAAATTTGGCGTAGTTCCTCTAGTTTACAATGTAGATAGAGTGGCTTGGGATATTTTCTTTAAACAGAAATTGTGCTTAGTCCTCCACAGAGAACTAACAAAAAATCCTTGCCAGTTGTGCTACCTAATCAATGGACTATAGGATAACACCATTCCCTTACAGAACTTCTATATGATGCCTCTTATGTCTGGTTCGCTACTCAAGTTGGCAGTGAACTAATTATCCATTTCACTACCAAGTTGAACCTTGGTTGCCTTGACACCTTTCCTTGTTTTTTTCTCTGTCCAGAAAGAAAGACAGAAAACATCCTTGCTTAATCCCATTGAAGCCATTTCCAGTCCAAAGTGGCCAATATGATGCTTCTCAGAGCCTTTCAGTATTGTTATGAAGGCATAAGCTCTTCTAACCATTGGGCTTTAGGAGGATCAAAGTTCCATCGAACCTATCTGATGGTTTGCATTTCCTTAATAGCACTGTCCACCTGCCTATAATTAGGTTGATCATTCAGGTCACTGCTCTTATCTGCCTTGTTTTTCTCCTCCTTAAGGCCTGGGTTTGCCTCCTAGCAATATTAAATAAAATATGAAGGGAGTAACTGAAAGGAAATATTAGAGTATTGAATGTCAGTGCATGACAATATCACTTTTTCCAGCTTTTGCAATCTGTCACAACTTTTTTCCCCTAGTTCCTTGTTGACAAATGATTACACTTCCCAATTGGTCCATCAAGCCAAATCTCCCACTGCTGTGCAGAAACAAATGATTTATCTATGGAAGGGGCAGGACTTTCAGTTTGCATAATATCTTTGGTGTGACACAGACAGAAACAATCTATACACAATCGTAAAATAATAAATAATGTATTGAATATCTGAGATAAAGACTCAGTCTAGATCTCTCCCCTCTCATATCATTAGAAAATGTTTATTTTTTTGAAGAGGAAGGTACCAAGAAATTTGATCAATGAAGCGCTAACTATTAATTCAGATTACAGGACTAAAATTATTAATAATACAAGAAAAATCCTTTGAAACTTCATAATGGTCCACTTTATCTGATTGGTATCAGTATCTACAAATACATAACACAGTCTCAAAAGAATTGCAAAAAGAAGGTGGGATACTGAGAGATTGAATTTGAAAACCTTATAATACATAACTCAGAACATTTGCTGGGCCATATTTATAGATCGCTGGTGAAATATGACTCCGAATCCAAACAGGTCAAAGACTGTAATGGTATGTGGGAATGACCTTGGGAGACAGGAGGGAGAGCTGCAGACAGGACATCCAGCATGTAAAAGATGTCTGAGCCCACAGAAGGGGGGATGGCATGGAAACATTTTAGAAGAGACCCTCCCTAGTTTTTTGGAGAGTAAAAGGAAAGGAGGGGATAAATACTTTCAGTTTTGCAAGATTCTGTTAATGTAACCTTACATAAAGATAGAGCTAGCACTCCTGGTTGGGCTTCCTGTCTGGACCACCTTGCAAAGACTGTATGATTAAATAGATACAGAATATGAATGCAATAATAGAGATACAACAATGAGAGTTTCACTGGAAGAACATTAAATTTAGCCTAAAGCTTCTATCCAGAGAATATTGGCATAAGATGTTTTATTGTTGGTATGTTACACCCATTTTTGATTGTTAAAATGATTATTTATGTATGTATGTATGTATGTATGTATGTATGTATTTATTTATTTATTTAGCTGGAAATGTAATGACCAGGTTGCATCATCTTTTTTATATTTGTGGCAATGCTGTAAAGCTGCAGAGGAGCATGGAGGTGAACCTGGAGAAAGGATGTAGAGGCTGTTAGGAGAACATGAGCTCATTCCAGGAAAATGAGAAAGCATGAGAAAGAAATTTAAAGTAACTCTGCCTTGACTCCCTTTGGTCTAAGAGGGAGGGAAGGTGAAACACTGTTAGGCTTTCAAGATTCTGTTCTAATAGTCTACATCAGTTAAGTAGAGTTCCAGGACTGCTTGTGATGTCTGTTTCCTGATCTACCCTACCTTGAAGGGCTAACAAAACCTCAACAATTCTGGAAAACACTAATATGAAACAAATCTTAAAAGTTGAATTCCCATTTCAACCTAGGATATTCTTATTGACCTTCACCAAGCCAAATATCCCCTCAAATATGCTGAATTAATTTCATATATGATAACAGCTGCAAGGATGCTATATATGTCTTACCCAAAAGGTTCTGTGATCTCATCAATGGACGAATGACTAACCAAGTTGTGGGAATATGCTTTGATATCTGGAATAAGTTCCTACCTTAAGAGCAAATCTGACACTTATTTCCATTCTAACTGGAAACCATTCTTAGACTATAATCTCATATGTGCATTAGTACCACATCCAAAATGTGGGTTTCTCTAGGGATAGAATCTACAGCACATTTCAATTTTACAAGATACCTAAATCAGAATAGATGTTTAATAATATGGACTGAAGTTAGTACAGCATATACAGTAAGTCTAGTCAGTGATTTATATTGTGTTGGCCATGACTTTTAATGTTCATTTTTAGCTTAAATTTGATCCTTAGCCTTTAATGTGATATAATAGATATATTTAACTCATGACAACTAATTAATGATATTTTAGAAAGCTATAACCTTCATGACATTTTTAAATCCCTGATTTATTTATCCATATTATATTCTTTTATTTTTGTTTCCCCTTGTTTTCTACTTGCTTATATCTTTTCTTCAAAGTGTCCAACTAAAAAAGAAGAATGGGGGAAAAGGTGTTTTATACTGTGTTGAAATCTGCCACCAGGCTTCTCTAAAGTTTTCCTTTCTGTGCAAGTGGCCTATGCTTTTCTATTTTATGCTCAGGTTACTTGAATGTCTCTTTAGAATTTCTCTTGGTGACATTTGTGTTTGGAGATATGGCTGGGTGCTTCTGCTGGTAGTGTGTTTTCCAGGTGGAAAAGGAGTGATGGGAAGTGCTCTCTCCTGATGTCTCCCCTTTGGATTGAAAGGTAGCATGGAAAGTTAAGAGAGTTTGCAGATCACTGGAGAGGGTTGTTCAGCTAAAGTCATGGGTGGCTGGGTCATGAATAACAAAGCTTTCAGGTACACATCCTTGGTCACTATATCGTGTAAGGACACCACACTCCTCTCATGTGAATGTCACCCCAAATCTTTCTCCTTTCAAAATAAATGTGAATGCAAATATTCTTTCACTAGATAGAATGAGAACTCATAGGAAAAGATGCAGGTGGGGCTTTCAGCACAGCAGTAGGGAAAAAAGAGAATTAGTGAAGCAGGAGATAGTTTACTGGTGTGTGGTTTCACTGGCCCCAAGCAACAAAAGTAAGGTTACCATGTCTGGGCTGTGAAATACCAGATTACCACTTCATTTTTTCCTCTTTTATTACCTCTGTTGATGGATGTTTTCCGTTAAACTTAGTTGGTCCTCTGCTGCAAGAAACAGTAATAAGTAGTCTATAGGATTGACCTGCAGGGCTGTCAACTTTGTTTTCTTCCACAATGCCTTTGCAATGATACTAGGAGTTAATATATAGGCATCTTATGGAATTCTTATGCATTTATGATATCCTTAAATGACATTTTGGGAGGTAGAGCCTTATGGGCCAAGTGAAATCACTG